ATACATGTTTAACACACTATCACATGGTGTTTCAGTTTGCCCCTATTGTGATACATTTTCCATGTATATCAATATTGTATATGATAATGCAAACACGTCGTCATAGCTTGGATCATGACATAATGACATATGGATGTGGTTTAACAAAAGTCTATTGAGCAACAGTTTTGACCTTTTTTCTGAGTTCATACTATGCAAGTCAATAATGCAACAACAATATTGTCATGGCAAATAATTTTTGAGTTTGGAAGTATTTTTAAAATACTTGAAAGCACTTTAGAGAACCATCAAAGTGCTTACATTTGGTTTCAAAACATTTCCACCAAAAGTGTTTTTACTCATTTTAAATATATTTCCAAACTAACCCTTAGTCTTTTAGACGTAAACGAGGAGCCCGGTGTGGTATACAGTTTAATTTATAACACCATGCCTCCATATCACCATTTAATTTGTTATTTGAGTGAAATCTAATTTATAAATTATTACTAATCTGGCAGTCTTAAATATAGTTTCTTAGATTTTCTGTCGGATCTCGTTTTCTATCCAGCTATCAACTCAGATATCATGATATTAAATAAGACCATGTGATTAAGATTAAATAGGGACAAAGAAAATAGAGACCCTAGATATTGCTTAGCATTCATATTTAGTCGATTTACATGTGGAGAAGTGTTATATACAATGTGGTAATGCAAAAATCAGTAATGAATCGGAGAAAAACTTGTGTGGAGCTTGGCTTTCCATTGGATTTTGCTAAGTGGTACTACAATCCACTCAAAACTCGCGACGTGGCAAGTCTTAAATATAATCTTTTATCATTCTTTTACATTTAAAATTCTCATAATCATTTTACATGAGCAGGAAACCATGGAGGTATGAGAGATAAACTCAATTGTGTTCACTCTTTTATGACTTTCTTCGGTTGCTTCATAGATAGTAACTCCTTCATTACTAACTTCTCTAAACCTTACTATCAAACAACTCATATACTCAATTTCAAAGAACTTGAATAGTTTATTGGTGTACACCTCAGCTACATGACATAAAATTTCACTAATTACTTTGAGACGAGGCATTCCTTGTTTGCAGCGAAAATCTTCTTGCAACTCTGTCAAACCCATGTCTTCTAGCTTTTTCTCATAGTGATGCACAAACTCAATAATAATACTTGTTGTCTTTGTACACATTTGATGGAAAACATTATTTGTACTCTCAACTCTTTGAGTGGATTTCATCTTTGCAGAGAAACTGAGAAAGTATCTAAGCTAAAATGGCAATGTTATGTAATTAAGTAGATCCATGCTGTAAGGCTTGCATAAGTGCTTCATGAAATTCTTATACCTCTTCACCTATTTTCTATTGATTTGTTTCGAATTGGATACTAACATTCTAACTACTAATGCGTATACATTATTAATATTTTAAATAGTTTAACTTGGAAGGGGTGAATAGTTTCCACATGAAGGATTTGAGAAGGTTTAGTTCAATTTAAATAGAAACACATGACATAAGGATGTGGTTTAACGGAAGTTTATTGAGCAAGAGTTTTGACTTTTTTCCTGAGTTCATACTGTGCAAACCAATCATGCAACAATAATGCCAATCCAAACAATATTGAGCAAGAGTATAGTGATATTGAATCATTGATAGCAGAAGGACTACAATAATATCTATTCGATTGAGATATTTTCTTGTCTATATGAGAGAAATTTTAATAAGGTTGTATACATGCAAGTATTTTTATTTGAAAAAAATATTTGCGTGTATATATGAGAGAAACTTTAATAGAGTTGTTAACACATCTTTTACATAAAATGAAACCAGAATTTTTGTTTGGTAATGTGGGCTAATATTTTTATTTATTTATACTGCGTAAGTTATCCGTCCATGAGAAGACTCCAATGCCCAAACAAGATAATATTGTTGTACAAAAAGGAAAAAAATATAACAGTATTGGACCAACTTATGATGGTAAAGACCGAAAAATATAACATTGGACTCGAACGGATCAAGGGAGTTTGTTGTATTATTAATGGCACTGAGCTTTTCAATGTGAACACTAGCGGTGGCTATACTGAATTAATTTGTCAAAAAATTGAAAAGTTATATGAGATAAAATGAATTGGAAAACGTTAGAGATATCAAATTTTACCAAAATTTGTAAATTAAATGATGTGGATTATTACTTAAGTGTTGATTAATGTGCTTATTTCTTATTGGTGACATATCATTTGATTTGCAAATTTCGTTTAAAATTTTGATCTCTCTAGTATTATCCAAATGAATTAGAGTATAAAACTCTCCTGGGTTAGAGCCGAGTGTAGCCCTTTACCTAGCTCCGCCCTTGCCTTCACATTAGTTAAGTTCAGCCTAGAGTAAAATGAGATTAAAATACAATATTTACATTTATATATATGAGAAATTTTTTTAGTAAAACTATCAATATATCTTCCACGTCGGTTAAGTCAATGAAACAAAAATATAGAAAGTCGTATGTATATTTATGAAAAATACTAATTGGAGGGCTATGGACTTGGACATCCATAGACATTTAATGGTTAACGCCTCAAGTCTTCATGCATTAAATAATAATAATAATAATAAATAAAATCTCCATGCATGTTGGAGTTGGGCAGCCCATATAACCAAAAGACTGGACCAGCGCCTATCCGGGTCAATTCTGGGGGCACAAATTAAGACTGAGATAATCCTCCTTTGCATTTTAGGTAGAAGTATAATTAAGACCGCTTACACTTTTGAATATCGAAATCATGTTGATATGATTTAATGAGTTGATATGATTGACTGAGAGAAGAGATCTTAGTTAGTACTTAGGTCGAAACCAAAGGCGGAACTACAGTCAGACTAAGGGCGGACTATACATAGGCCAGGGGAGAAGTTTGGAAAATTAAGAAGTTAATACTAAGTTCTAGACGTCCTAACCATTTTGCAGGAATTAGCCTACCCCTCTACTCAAAATTCTCCGAAAATGGAAGCTAGTCAACCTCTTCCATGGCTAACACATTGAAGCTTTCTTGTTAAAAAGAAAGAATAAATTGTAGCAATGGTCCCTCAACTAAAAATTCATTATCATTGGTCCCTCAACTCATCAAAACGTGCAGCTATGATCACTCAACTAAAAATTCATTACCATTAGTTTATTAACTTTAATCCAATTGGAGAAATTGTCCCTCAACTTTAACCTAATTGTAGCAATCGTCCTTCCAACATAACTCATTTTGACAAAATTTTGACGAAGTTGATGAAAATGATCATAGCTACACGTTTTAATGAGTTAAGGGATCCCATTTGTAGTAATGGTCATTTTAACATATCTTATTTTGATAAAATTCTGATGAAGTTGATAAAAATAACCACAGGCTACGTATTTTGATGAGTTGGGGGACCAATGATAAGGAATTTTTAATTGATGGATTATTGCTCCAATTAAGTTAAAGTTAATGAATCATTGCTACAATTTATTCAAAAAGAAAAGAAGAGAACAAACATATACCCTTGCAGGAAAGGACAAATATTAGCCCACCCTTAAAAAATACCTAGTTCTGCCCTCGTTGGAAACTTGCTACTGTCTGAGCTAGAAAAAAACAGCGATGTAAGTGCAAAGTTTAATGTTACAAATATGTAATGTTCTATATTAATTATTGAAAAATGAATTCTGAACACATTTTTTCTTCTTTTTGCACATTATGTTCATTGTCGATAACTATAAGATATATATTTTTTAACATACACACGTAGGAATTAGGATGCATGCATGGCCAGGCTAATAATATTAGCTATTATTGTTGCATGATGGCTTTCGTCGTATGAGTTCCAGATAAAGTCAAATTATTGTGGCATTAGCTTTGGTTTGGCCACATTTTATCCAAATCCAACTTTATCGAAGCCTTTACGATATTCAAATCTTTGGAGAGTTCTGAAAATTTCAATATTTGCTAGTTGCTCATCTCACAACGTCTGAATTACATGGCAATGACATATCACATCACACCCTTGTACTTCCAAACGTGTGTGTATTTTTCAAGTTAGGGAGGGGGTTGGGTTTGCTTACCAAACTCAAACATCCCTTAGTCTCTTGACATGATAAGTAAAACCGCCAAATAATCAGGATTTGTGTATCAACGGTAAGCCAATTAATTTTCTTCATTATCATTAAAAAAAAATTACGAAAATTTATTTAAATCCTAAATAGTTTAATCAGTTATATGTACCAAATGAATGGATAGCTCATCATGAATTACTTGATACTAACATCATCAATCTGCCCAATACATCTAAATGAGAATTAATAAGATACACAGCTTCCATGACGAATTTTTCGTTGGAGGGATAAACCAGGTGATGCACCTCATGGAGTAAATGAAAGCATTTCCTAAAGTTAATGAGGATTATTTGGAAAATACACTATTCTAATTATGAAATTTATCCCAATTTTTCTTGTTCATCAATGAATTTTTCCAAAGCCCCATAATCAATTCCAATTTTCTTTAAGTAAAAACATACTTTCGAGAATTATTAATTACCATTTAATCAAGAAACCAATATCAACAATACAAATTGTCTAACGAACCCTACGTGAGCTTGTAAGTAAGTTGGGTTACATTCATATTAATTAGGGCTGGTTTGGTATTACTGTGCTTTGAAAAAAAACTGTTTCTACTGTGCTTGTGAGAATAAATAGCTGTGAAATAAAGCAGCAGAGTGTTTGGTAAACTTTTTTGTAAAAGTGCTTTTGAAAAAAAAAAAGCAGTATTATAGTGTTTGGTAAACTTTTATGTAAAACAGATGTGAAAAAAAGCCGGTTTTTCGAAGCTGGGTTTTGCAGCTTCTTGTTTTTTACTTTCTTTCACCCAAAACTATGAAAAAAAGCTGAAGCTAAAGCTAAATGTTTACCAAACACAAAAACAGCTCCCAGCTTTTTTTTATACCAGTTTTTTTTTCAAAATCACCTTAGTACCAAACGAGGCCTTACTAATTGATTTTACAGTAAAACCCCAACTTCCTTCAATTATATAATAACATCCCAATACTAATTCGGAGCAGCCTCTCTAACATGAGATTTGGATAGCATATTTATTCACGCATACATAGATTAATTAGTTCTTTTCTCTTTAACAGAATTAAAACGGCCTGGAGGAATTAGATCATGGACGGAAGGGATTAAATCCAGCCTGCACCGCCTTCTCCAAAGGCCAAAAGAGTGGTTTAGGGAGATTGTCCCACTCATACCAATCCCAACCATCGCACATGTTAGGCTCCATATTCTGGGGCTCTTGATCTTCATCTGCCAACACTGCTCTGGTCACAATCGCCACGTACTGGCACGGCTTCGCTTCCTCGAGGAACACATGGTTTGTGACAGTCAGCAGCTCTATATTCTTGATGTCCAAATCAGTTTCTTCCTTCAGTTCTCTTGCTGCACACTCCTCAAAGCTCTCACCTACACAAAACCATAAACCAAAATTGAATATCCCACATTAAAGCAGTAGATGTTGAAAATACACGAATTCACATCAAACAATTGACAGAATAAACTACAATATACAACAAATAGTCATTTCTAATACTATCACCACACATATCGTGTTGTGCAAGTGGCAGATGTAAACTGTGACACAATACTGTTGTGGTGTTGTGGAGGTATTCAAATGAAAAAAATGATTTACCAAACTCGAGGTGGCCGCTAGGAAGGGAAAACTTGGAGTCGCCAATGGAGGAACGACGGCGTCCTAACAGCACCTTCTTCCCTTTCAACAGGCACACTACCACCACAACTCGCGGGGCCACAATCCCGTTTGGCATGTTTAGTGTTTGCTCAACCATATATCTGTTTCTTAATTTGCACTGAATGTCGTAGCCTGCCTGCCTCACCTTCCACTTATAGTGGACTGCTCATTGCTAAATGAGTCAGTCAAACTACCCCAAAGAGGAAAACTTGGTCCAAAACGATATCTATATGCCATTTCAGTACTTATTTTTTTAGCACTTTTTCCACATGGTCTTACTTAATATTATGATATCTGAGTTGATAGCTGGGTAGAAAACGAGATCCGACGGAATATCGATGAATGAACAAATAATGATAACTTATATTTAAAACATGCTAGATTAGTAATAATATATAAATTAGATGTCACTCAAAAAAACAAATTAAATGGTGATATGGAGGCATCGTGTTATAGATTAAATTGCATACTAGGCACCTTCACCTCCTCCTCCACCTCTAAAAGACTAAGATATTATTGTAGTCCTTGTGTTATCAATATCAGCACAACTGAATATTATTTGCAATGGCATTATTGTTGTTGCATGATTGGCTTGCATAGTATGAACTCAGGAAAAAGTCTAAACTGTTGCTCAATAAACTTTTATTAAACCACATCCATATGTCAGGTGTTTCTATTAAATTGTATTAAACCCTTAACCCTTCCTCTAGTTAAATTTTTTTTATAATTTATACACGTTAGTAGTTAGATGAAGATTGTGACCATAGCAGTGTTGGCAGATGAAGATCAAGAGCCCCAGATTATGGAGCCCAACATGTGCGATGGTTGGGATTGGTATGAGTGGGACAATCTCCCTAAACCAATCTTTTGGCCTTTGGAGAAGGCGGAGCAGGCTGGATAAATATCCTTTCCGTCCATGACCTAATTACTCCAGGCCGGATTTAATTCTCTTAACAAAAAAAGAACTAATTAATCTTTGTATACGTGAATAAAGATGATATCCAGATCTCATGTTAGAGAGTCTGCTCCGAATCAGTGTTGGGCTGTTATAATTGAAGGAATTTTGAGTTCCACCATAAAACCAATTTGCAATATGAGAAGTAATAAAACTTACTTATAAACCCATGCAAGGTTTTTTCTTCGAGATTTATTCTCAATAATAATAATATAGGCAATTTCAATTCGTTGATGATAAAATAAAAAATTGGACAAATTTCATAACTAAAACCGTGTAATTTCCAAATAATTCTCATTAATTTTAGGAAAATACTTACATTTACTCCATGAGGTGCATCACCTTGTTTATCCCTAGCAACCAACGTATTTTAAGAGTACAATCCGTAATAGTACCCGTGTATCTTAATAATTCTCATTCAGATGTATTGAGCAAATTGACAATGTTAATATCATTCATTTATCCGATACATATAGATGACTAAACAGTTTCTGGTTCAAATAAATTTTTATAGAGAAAATTTTTAAGTTATATATAATTAAGAATTGGCTTATGGTTGATATACTATTCCTGATTATTTGCCGGTTTTACTAATCATGTCAGGAGACTGAGGAATGTTTGAGATTGGTAAGCAAACCCAACCCCCTCCCCAACTTGAAAAATACAGAGACACGTTTGGAAGTACACGGGTGTGCATTTATGAGACGAGCAACTAGCATATATGAAATTTTCAGAACTTCCCAAAGATGAATATCTTACAGGCGTCGAGAAAGTTGGAGTTGGATAAAATGTGGTCAAACCAGTGTAACTGCCAAAATAATAGCTAATCTGATCAGCCTGGGCAAGCATCCTACGTAGAATCGACAATGAACAGTGATCAAAAAGAAGAAAAAGGTGTTCAAAAATCAATTTTCAATATTTTATTATTATTATTATATATATTTTTTTTTGTGAAACGATAGATTGGTTAGATTAAATGTTAAATTAGGCCACCTGAGTTCGAATCCACATCGTGATGCAAAAGCAACACATCTCTCAATCATTGTGATAGAGGATCAGTTGCATTTTTCAATGATTAACATAGAACATTGACATGTTTGTAACGTTAAACTTTGCACTTACATCTGTTTTTCCTAGCTCAGATGGAAGTAGATAGTTTCCACAGAGGACAGAAATAGGAATTAGTAGGTTGGGCTAATTCATACCGAATGCTTAGTTAGGAGGTCTAGAAATAGGTATTAACTTCTAATTTTCCAAACTCTTCCTCTACGCTATAGTCCACCTTAGTCTAACTGTAGTTCCGTTATCGGTTTCCATCTAAGTATTAATTAAGATCTCCTCTCAATTGAATTGGATAGATTTTGAAGAAAAAAAAAAAAGATCGGATGAAATTGGGTTTGTAAACTTATTAGGGTTTTATGCAATTGGATTTATTGAGTTGTCTTTGCTCTGTTTCATTCAAGTTGAATTCTATTGAGATACATGATGAACACGACTGGGTTTTGCAAATGAAAGGGATACGTGAAACCGTCTTCTCTGATTTATTTCATTTCTAATCAATTAATATTTTGTTTGGGAGTAACGGGGAGTACGTAAACTTGGGTTAAACTCCCCTTCCTCCAGTCTGCCCAGTGGTTGAAGAAACCAACTGCTAAAGGGCCATTCCCGATCAAGCAATTTTTTGCTTGTTGGGCCTGCAGCCCCATTTAAACTAAAGAATAAAAAACAACTCCCGTCCAAATAGTTATCAGAAACAGTCGCCTTCGATCGAGAAAGATCTTGCCAAGTGTCTGCATCCCACAAGTAAATATCTAATAAGATGATCGCGTCGTTATTTTGGCTGTTGAAAAATAATAATTGAGCGGGTCCTTCTAACCTGTACGTCACGACTACCCCCTTCACCTCTTCTTTTAATCAATTTTTTTTCACGCTCACAATAATATTCGAGCAAAATGTATAAAATGAAAATAAAAACCCTTCCAACTTTGCAAGTGTTGAGTTGCATTAGTGGTTCGATTATTCATTTTCAACTGAGTATGTATTTTTAGACAGTTGACAAATCATGGATTATAATAGACTCTGATTAATTAACTAAATTAATAGGTGAATGTTTATATGATGTCAATCGATAATATATGATATTGTTACACGCTTACAAATTTTGTTCAATACATGGTACGTCATTGTTTTATTAATTTAGAAGTGCATTCATTTTGTATCATATTCTTAATAACAAGTGAGAGTGATACGCACTTTATTTCTTGACCTTGATAGGTTTTAATCATTTTTTAATAAAGATTTAAGTTGGATTTTCGTAAATAATTACGGTGTAAATACATGATTGGAAAAAAGTAAAAACATTCGCCCGAATCAGGTGGTCAGAGTCACAGAGCCGCCCTTAAGGAACGGGGAGAGTGCCACTTGGGAGCAATCCTTGGCAATCCATTCGGTAAAAGTGGGTCCGAAAATCATCCCGAGTATCCGTACGCGGAGACTCTCTCCCTTCCTCTCTCTGCTTTCCTGCCACCGCTACTACTTCCACCATTACCATCTTCCTCTCCTCCTCCTCCTCCTCCTCCTCCTCCTCCTACGCCTTTCCGCTTCTACTTTCTCTCTCTATAACACATACAGAAACACTCACACACTCACACAACCACACCTTCTCTCTCTAGAACTCCATACCCTGCAACAATGACGGACACCACGGACGACATAGCGGAGGAAATCTCCTTCCAGAGCTTTGAAGACGACTGCAGAATGCTCGGCAGCCTTCTCCAGGAGGTGCTGCAGCGAGAGGTCCGAAGCCAAATCACGGAGAAAGTCGAAAGGACCCGAATCCTCGCTCAGGTAATTCACTCTCTCTCTCTCTCTCTCTCTCTCTCTCTCCCCTTCCTTCCCACTGCATTTCGGAATCTCCTAAAGCTTGTTTGGTTGCCGGGAAAAACAGAGGAAAGGAAAGAAAACAAAAGGTGGCGATGAGAGTAGAGTGTGTTGATAATTTTCCCTGCATTTCCTGGATTATCTTAGCATCCAAACAGAGGGTAAAGATAATCTGAAATCCCCTAACATATAATGTGTGAGTATGTGTGTTTTCAGAGTGCTTGTACTATGAGGAATGCGGGGATAGAGGACGTTGCCGAGGTGCTGGAGAAGCAGCTGGCATCGGAAATATCAAACATGAGCTTGGAGGAGGCTCTGATCCTCGCTCGTGCTTTCAGCCATTACCTCAATTTGATGGGCGTCGCCGAAACCCATCACAGGTAATCTCTTCGCCTTCTCGGAATCCTCCGCTGTTTTGTTCACCCTTGCACTCGAGGTCCCGCTTTTGCAATGTCTCTGTATATGTATCTTTGTATTTGTTTGGAAATGAAATAGGGAAAATGAGACCTTTCAATTTGGTTCTAACAAGAGAATGTTGACATGGAGAAAAGAGAACTACTTTGATTTCTTGCATTTCTAAATTTTATTAGCTTTCTGGTTATTGGTATTGAAGTTTGTTCCTTTTTGCAGGGTTCGCAAGCAACGAAATGACTCGAATGAGGCATCTCTGTCGAAATCTTGCGACGATATTTTTAATCAGCTTGTGCATGGTGGTGTTTCTCCTGATGAGCTTTATAATACTGTTTGCAAGCAGGTTCCTTCTTGGTTCCTTTGCTTCTAGTTTGTTTGTCTTGCTTGTATGCCGGGTTGAGAAATGGGGAGCGTATATAGTTCGATTGGGTTACTGAACGTTGAACTCGTTCAATTAAGGCATAGTCATGTATTAATCTTCTTCGTTGTGTGTGCATTTTAATTGTTTCTGTGGTAAGAAGCTAAGAGTTATCCATCTTTTAATTCCCAATCTCAAATTTTCTTGCTGCAGGAGGTTGAAATTGTTCTTACTGCACATCCTACGCAAATTAATCGTCGTACCTTACAATACAAGCATATAAGAATTGCTGTAAGTGGTTGGCAGTTCTTGCTTAATCTTACGCATGTTGAACATTTCTTTTGAATGATTTAATTTTTCCCGCAGCATCTTTTAGACTACAAGGACAGGCCGGATATTGGTAACGAAGACAAAGAAATGCTGATTGAAGATCTGGTATTGTTTTTCCAGCCTTATTGTCTTCTTCAAATTTTCCCCTTGGCTTAAGTTTTATAATTTCTTTTGAAGGTGAGAGAGATTACCTCGATATGGCAGACAGATGAGCTTAGGCGCCATAAACCTACACCGGTCGATGAAGCTAGGGCAGGTAAAATAGTTTAATTATATTTGAATCTAATTATAATCAAATGCTTTGGATCTTTGGAAACTTGTGTGTATCAAACCAAAACAATCTTATACGTGATTACCGCAGGTTTGAACATTGTGGAGCAGTCCCTTTGGAAAGCTGTACCTCATTATCTTCGGCGAGTTAGCAATGCTTTAAAGAAGGTTCATCTTCAATTGATGTTCTGTTATTAACTTATTACTATTTTCTACATGCATATACTGTCTTCCGTCTTTCTACAGTTTCTCTCCTAAGATTTCCTCTGATTTATTTGTCAGCATACCGGAAAACCACTTCCATTAACTTGCACACCAATCAAATTTGGGTCTTGGATGGGGGGTGACAGAGATGGAAATCCTAATGTAACAGCAAAGGTTATATTCTAGGTCCTAATGTTTTCTGATTTGTAAATTTTCTCTACTTTAATATTTGTTCCTTTGAAATCAAGAAGAGTCTATTCTGTCAATAAATATGTTATTCCTACAAAAATTTGGTAAGGTAGCCCAATTTATTCTTTTATAATTGTTTGTGTGGTGCTCTGTTATTTTTCGTCTAGGAGGACGACTGCTGATCTGCTCACTCTTTTTGTTGTATCAGGTCACAAAAGATGTCTCACTTTTATCTAGGTGGATGGCCATTGATCTCTACGTTCGAGAACTTGATAACCTCAAATTTGAGCTATCCATGAACCGTTGCAGTGATAGATTGTCGAGGCTGGCAGATGAAATTCTAGAGCAAGGTTTGGCATGTTGCAGTTCTTCTGCATTGATACATTCACTGCTTACCAGTTTATGTCAATAATTTATTTATTTAGGGGGGAGGGGGTAACAGTGTTTCGTGGGATTGAGTTAGTTTAAGGTTCTGATCGATAATTGTAAATCTCTAGATGGTCACGCAGAAGTGAAAATGTTGCTAGACATTGATAATGCCAATAAACGCTTACTTTAGTTTCTACTATGTCAGCGATAGACCGCATTGTTTCTCATTTGAAAGTAACTAAATTGATGAATTGTGGTCTTTTCTCTTTTGTTTACAATATTCTGTATGTTCACAATAGTTGTGATTCACTTTGAACTATTATGGCAATCAAAATTTCTCTCCAGAAACTTCATCCAAGGATCGGCATGAGAATTGGCATCAGTGGCTTGGTAGACATCAGTCGAAGCAACAAGGTGCGGCCCTTCCATCACAACTTCCAGCCAGAGCTGATCAACCCTCGTGCACAGGTGACCTCTAATTATCCTCTTAAAAGTGCAATTGTTTAGTTCTGCATCATACAATACATCATGCATGTGGGAACCCACATCAATTCCCAAAGTAATACTTCATCATTGCAAGGCTTATGAAATGATCCCACTGTAATATAACAAGCTAACTATTTCCTCTCACCTGTACTTCATACTAGTGATTCTTGCTTTTCTCTTCATTCATCTAACCTTCCGTAATGTATTTGATGACTGATTTTATTCATGGTTTCTGAATTCTTTTGGATGTACAACTTTATGTAGAATGCATTCCCCGAATTCAAATTATGAGGGCTGATTACCTGCCGAAACATCAGGTGAAGCAAGTTCTATGATGCTGGCATTTGAGTCTAGCATCGGTTTTGATTCTTAATTGGTTTGGCATCTACAAATTCCATCAGAGCTTGTAGTTACCTATAAGTAGTCTCTTTGTTTTATCTCTCTCTTATGACAGGATGGTCAGGACCCTCCAATGTCAAGTCCTTCCTCCCAGAGTCCCTTTCTCAACAGGCATACGATACCAAATGGATCTTCAGGGTCTCCCTCTTCTAATTCAAGTCGACTGCTTAATCAAAGGAAAATGTTTGCAGAGTCCCAGATTGGAAGGTCCAGTTTCCAAAAGCTTTTAGAGCCAAGGCCTCCTCAGAGATCTGGAATTGCTCCTTATAGAGTGGTTCTTGGTAATGTAAAGGACAAGGTATTGTTTATCAACTCATTTTTCAATTATGTCAAGTATGTAGTTGTTGGCTGCACAGAGAAGTTCCTATTTATGTTCTTCTGCCGTTGGTTTAGGCTTTATTAAAAAGGATGGACTATTGGGCCATTATATGTTCTGGCCATTACTAATGCTTGTATGTGTTCCGCGGGTTCAGCTTATGAAGGCACAAAGACGTTTGGAGCTTCTCCTTGAAGATCTTCCTTGTGAGTATGACCCTTGGGATTGCTATGACACTTCAGATCAACTTTTAGAACCGCTGCTCCTATGCTACGAGTCTTTGGTAATTCTCTTTCTTTACGCTCTACTCTTACATGCACCTGCGTGCGCACACACGATCGCAGAACATCTGCATTTGTACAAACTTCTATCCAATATCGACAACCATCATTTTTGGCAGCAATCATGTGGATCTGGGGTGCTAGCTGATGGTCGGCTTACTGATCTGATCCGAAGAGTTGCTACATTTGGGATGGTACTAATGAAGCTCGATTTGCGTCAGGTGTGCTTTATTTTGGCATATAATTTTTGTCTTGCTTTGGTAACATATTTTAACTGAAGATTTAAATGAGGCAGGAATCTGGGAGACATGCTGAAACGCTTGATGCTGTTACCAAATATTTGGATATGGGTACGTACAGTGAGTGGGATGAAGAAAAGAAACTCGAATTTCTTACTAAAGAGCTTAAAGGGAAAAGACCACTAGTCCCAAAAAGCATGGAGGTAATAGCTAACCTAATTAGTTCAATTCAAAATTTCATTCCAAGGGATGAGAATGTATTCTTCGAAACAATGGGCATGCAGACCTCGAACCTGAACTTTCGTGTTAGCAGCATCAAGGCTCTAATTTACTCTTTACTAGTCAATTTGCTGAACTCGTGCTTCACTGTGAGACTTGTCTTCTCTCGTGAAAATCTTTTCAGGTTGGTCCTGATGTTAAGGAAGTACTTGATACCTTCCGCGTTGCTGCGGAGCTGGGGAGTGATTCACTTGGAGCCTATGTGATTTCTATGGCGTCAAACGTATGTCATACCACTTCCATAACGGATTCATAATTGAAGTTGTGCACTATAAGGCAGATCTTGTGCACATTAAAATTAAGAGATTTTTTCTTTTTTCTTTCCAAGAGTGGTGTTTCCATAAATATGTTTGGGGTGATAGAATTGACAACAGTTGCCATGCAATTCAAAAATGGCAGGCAAGTGATGTCCTCGCAGTCGAGCTTTTGCAGAAAGATGCACGACTTGCTGTTAGTGGGGGGCTAGGAAGGCCATGTCCTGGTGGAACGTAAGTTTGCACACCTCTATGTTGATACTGCTAGATAGAATGAATATCACAACTGGATTTCATATGTTTTGGTATAGGCTGCGGGTGGTTCCTTTGTTTGAAACTGTGAGCGACTTGAGAGAAGCTGGCTCAGCGATCAGAAAATTATTATCCATTGATTGGTACAGGGAGCACATAACCAAGAACCACAATGGTCTTCAAGAGGTAATTATATCAAGAAGCAGTTTCGAATAAACTTTGGTAGGGCCCCATGAATCTCGTGGAGCTTACGAAGTTATATTGAGCAGGTGATGGTTGGATATTCGGATTCTGGTAAAGATGCTGGGCGTTTCACTGCGGCATGGGAACTTTACAAAGCTCAAGAGGATGTTGTGGCCGCATGCAATGAATTTGGCATTAAGGTTACCCTGTTCCACGGGCGAGGGGGAAGTATCGGTCGTGGAGGTGGCCCTACATATCTTGCCATTCAATCTCAACCTCCGGGCTCTGTAATGGTAATTGTTCTTGTTTTTCATTCATTAGTCTTCTGTATCTTGATTACATTCTAGCTTTAAAATGTTTGAAAGGATAGATGTTCGATTGTGATCTGCTTTAAACAAAGGCTTATCCCAATCTGTAAAGTTACTTCAGTTCACACTTTTACTTATGTTTGGAACTTGGACAACATCGATAACTTGATATCTTCGTGTTCTTAACCATGTCTGTCTATGTTGGATTCTGTGGTGTACATTTTTTCTGGGGTTCCATAATTTGTATAACCTTATGCCTGATGGTTTACATAATCGTTAGGGTACCCTACGATCAACTGAGCAAGGAGAGATGGTTCAGGCAAAATTTGGGCTGCCACAAACTGCTGTCAGGCAGCTAGAAATATACACGACAGCTGTGCTGCTTGCAACTATAAAACCTCCACTCTCACCTCGCGAAGAAAAGTGGCGTAACCTCATGGAGGAGATCTCAAAAATCAGTTGTCAGAACTACCGGAGTGTAGTCTACGAAAATCCAGAATTCCTTGACTACTTCCATGAGGCTACACCCCAGGCTGAGCTTGGCTTCCTCAACATTGGAAGCCGCCCCACAAGAAGAAAGACCTCCACAGGAATTGGACATCTTCGTGCAATTCCATGGGTGTTTGCATGGACCCAGACCAGATTTGTTCTTCCATCATGGCTCGGAGTTGGAGCAGGCTTAAGGGGGGTTTGCGAGAAGGGACACACCGACGACTTGAAAGCTATGTACAAAGAATGGCCCTTCTTTCAGTGTACCCTTGACCTTATAGAGATGGTTTTGGGGAAGGCAGACACTCATATAGCCAAACAGTACGACGAAGTCCTTGTCTCAGAAAGCAGGCGACATCTTGGTTCTGAGCTGCGAAGGGAGCTCTTGACTACAGAGAAGTATGTACTGGTGGTTAGCGGGCACGAGAAACTATCTGAGAATAATCGGAGCTTGAGGAAGCTTATTGAAAGCAGGCTCCCCTTTCTCAATCCTATGAACATGTTACAGGTTGAGGTACTCAAGAGACTGAGACGCGATGACGATAACAATAAACTCCGAGATGCATTGCTCATAACAATAAATGGGATCGCCGCAGGGATGAGAAACACAGGCTGAGTGAAGTCATCCAATCTCTTGGATGTAACTATTTTACTGAGGATTTCCACATTTGCTTTATTTTTTTTCCTGTCTTGCTTCTTGTAAGGGTTGCTGTAATTCGGAGGCTAAGTCTGAGAAACGGTGTATGCATCGATCAGTCGGTTTCATGGACGTATTACACACATAGTACTACTACAACGGTGAAATGTTGAATTGCTTTTAATTTGCACCTGGATACGCCTACAATATTTTCTTTTTGGTTCCTCACGGTAGCTACATACCGTCATATTTGTATCATCTCATTGCCGACGGCAAAACATGAAAAACAAATCTGAAAGAAAGCTTTCCTTGAGAACTAGAGGCCCCAAACTCCAGTCGGAGACTGAAGCCATAGGAACCAAAGCCCTATTAACATTCTCACCCGACCCCATCAGATGCCACTTGGGCAAAATCTTTGCTAAATCCTAGTGAATTTCCTAATGGAAGCCATTGGAGCAATGTTGTCTTTTTGTGGTTATTGTGGTTACCGCTGATCAGATTTTAATAACTAAAACAAAAGGGCCAGTACAAACACACAGAAAGCAGCCTGCCAGATACGTTTGCTTGAGTTACAACCTTCTCTGGAAAGTAGATTTTGTGTACTTCCCACTAAAAATAGAACCTGATTTCCAAAATCCACAAGCTCTTGTCGTCTTCACAAACTTTTCTTTTTAATTTACAAGATGCTCAATGTTGTCTAAAGAAGATACCCATACCTGCTGCAGCTGTGGAAGTGATCGAGTTCAGTCAGCACCTCCAAAAACACAATCTAGTTGAAACTTCCTGGAGCAACCACAAATTCATTCTTTTTGGATGTCGATGTCGGTATCGTAGTGCTGTACACCCAATTTTGAATCTAAACTACTGATCTCAAAGCCCTAGTAGTGCCACAATTATGCAGCATTGCACCAGGCTGTCTTGCATTGTGCATTTTTGTTTGAGTGGGAAGTCATTTCGTTTCTTTCTTGGATTCTGACTTCCATGATAAATTTCACCACGCCATACAATAAGATTCAATAATTTTAGGTGCAACTGCATGATTGAAGATGTTCATCACACATACACCTGGTGCCGTGCGAACCGGCCAAACTAAAATATTTCAATTAAAGCTAGCTAGGTTCCAATTTGCTTTGGTGCTGCTAGTGCTAGCTAGCAATCTTGCATCGTGAAAAAATAGGGTGGAAATTTGAGGAACATGTTCTTTTGATGAGAACGATTTCTTCATTTGGGAAGCTACTCAACGCAAACCAGCTGCTAGCCATGTCCATGTGGAACATAATCACTAAAGCGACTTATGAGAATGTAGCATCAAATTAAGATTACTGGTGGGTTTTTTTTCTAACAGTAAGCTATAGGTGTTAAAATTCTCAGCTAGCATCTGAAAAGATAAAAGTGAAGTGTTTGCAATATTTCAGTACTTTCGGTGACCAAACAGCTTTCACTAGTAAAAAAAAAAAACCCTTGCAAACACACATTGTCGCGTATAGTCACTTTATGAGATGAAATTTTGATCTTCATTGCGCAAGACGAAACAAACATCATCGCTCAAAGTTACTTTGTGTGACGAAATTTTAAACTTCGTCGCGTAAAGTATTTACAAAAATAAAAAAATATTTTTTAAAAACCTTTGCGCGACGAATTCCAAATATTTCATCACCTAAACCAATTTATTTTCTTTTTTTATTTAATTTTATATTATAAATTTTAAAATATAGTTATTTTCATAAGTTTTATTATTTTTTAAAAACTTTGCCTGTTGAATATCAATATTTCGTCACCTAAACCCTATTTACTTGTTTTTTATTTAATTTTATATTGTTAAACTAAATTATTTTCTTTACATGACGAATCAACATTTTGTCGCCTAAACCCTATTTATTTTAATTTATTTATATTTCAAAATGTAAAATAATTTTTTTTTGAATTTTGTGCGACGAACATATATTTTGTCGTGCAAAATCATTAAATTTGGACGGACGCCAAAAATGGGATACGGGAATTTTTTTTTAAATTTATTTTAAGACTTTGCATGACAAATCCTTCGTCGTGCAAAACTTTGTGCGACCAACACTTCGTCGCGCAAAAAACTTTAAAAATTTGGGCGGGCACAAAAAATGGGATGTGGGAAATTTTTTTTCAAATTTTTTTTTTTTTAAGACTTTGCGTGACCAATATTTTGTCGCGCAAAGTGATATGGTTTTTAAAACCAAAATAACACATCCACAATTTTCTCAATGTCTTTCTCTATTTTCTTACCTCTCTTCTCTTTCCCTCTCCCCAAATCCGACCCTTTCTCTCACACTCACTGTCACATCTCGGCTCGGGGGGGACCACTTCCTGGGCCCGCTCCACCACCGTAGCACGATATTGTCCGCTTTTGGCCCCGACCACACCCTCACAGTTTTGTTTCTGGGAACTCACACGAGAACTTACCGATGGGTCACCCATCCTGGGAATGCTCTCATGCGCTACTCGTTTAACTTCGGAGTTCCCATAGAACCCAAAGCCAGTGAGCTCCCAAAAGGTCTCGTGCTAGGTAGGGATAGGAATATACATATAAGGATCACTCCCCTGGGTGATGTGGGATGTCACACTCACTCCTCTCACTTAATCTCTCCTCTCTCTTCTCTATCTCTCACTCTCACTCTCACTCACTCTCTCATCTCTCTCTCTCTCTCACTATCTCCTCTAACTCTCTCACTCTCACTCCTCTCTCGCATTCTCACTCGCTCTCAATCTTGCCAAAAGGTATTTTCTCCCAAAATTTTAATTTTTTTTTCATTAATATGTGTTTTTGGAGTTAATTAATTGGGTTTGGTGTGGGATGGAGTTTGGGGTAGGATTTGGGGTATGCCAATTTTAGCGGAGATTATGCCGATTTTTTGGTATTATTTTATGTTTTTTTTTTGGTTATTTGAACATATTTGTTTTGTTTGTAGGGAATCGTTGAGAATTTGACAGTGAAAATTAAGGATTAGGACATTATCAGACCATATCCCCTGCCACTACCTCCACATTAGACTTGCATTAGGATTTTATTATTGTACTTTGTTAATTTATGTGTACATTTTTAATATAATATATACTATTGATAATTTGATCACTATTTTCATATGTAATTTTATTTTTCATATGTCAATTTAAATTAAAGTAATTAAAAAATAAAGATACAATTAAATTCCATACTTTTCTATCCCCCTTCAAATCCAATTTTAAAATGAAAATAGGATTGAGTAAGTTTTTTTAAATTAAAAAATTAGAATTAAATTAAAAAAATAAAAATTCAAAAAATCTTGCGCTACCAAATATTTCATCGCACAAACAATTATTATAATTAAATTAAAATAAGAGAAATAATAAACCAAAAATAAAATACCTTGCACAACAAAATATTTCATCTCAAAAACAATTAATTTTGTCACGCAAAATATTAAATTAATTTAATTAAATAAAAAATAAAAAACCGAAAACTTTGCACGAGCAAACCCAATTGTAACGAGCTTTGCACGACAAATCATGTGCAACAAAAATTTCCTAAGTTAGAATTTAATAGTAAATTACAATCCGTAAAAATTGAGAAAATATCAAATTTGTTGATGGAATAATATCGAGAGGTCGCAACCCTAGCACCGTAAATGTCGCTTATATAGTGCATCTTAGCGCTAGACTTTGTACAAGTACAAATAGAACGAATTAAAGAAATAACGAGATACCGAAAATATCTTAAAATCCCATTTCAGATAGTAGACAACAGAATTCGGCCAAAATGCTCATATATCAAGGTAAATCGCCTAGCCTTGTTAGCGAGGTTCTTTTCCACGGCGGGTAAATGGGTCCAAATCGAACACCGAAGCTTAACAAATATGCAATGCTTGGATCTTACAATTGACTTATGCATTTTCAATCGTTCTTCAATCTTTTAAGTTATTTGTTCTAAATCAATGCACCGTCTAGTTTAGTACAATCCTGAAGGCTCATCTGCCTTATGTCTCCCACTCAATAACGCAATCCAATGCAGTGCAGAGCTTGCTCGGATGCCCTTGCTAATCCAAAGAGTTCTAGCTAGGGTTTCAGTCATTTTCAACGACACAGAAAGAAAAATAAAATTCCAGGAGGACCAATATTATTGCTCAAAGCTGCAGCATTAGTACTAAATAATCAACCCCTTTTCTACTACTAGGTTAATTCTACCAATTTCCATTTCCATTTCGATCATTGAGACGATCGATCGAAAAGCTTCCATAGAAGTCAAATAAAACGTTTTTTTTTCGAGTGAAGGTATGCCAACGACTACAAGTTGAACAAATCTGCAGCCCTATCGAATTAAGATTTAGAGGGGCCATACTGTAATTGTAACAAAATGTTTAAATTCTCAAACCTAGTTTTTTCAACTTGATAATGCTGCCGTACGTAACGCAAGTTGTGTATGGAATTGACACTGATGTGGGTGGTGCCTTTGGCTTTTGGTCTTCAAATTCTTTGCCAGTGACATCCGTGTCAACCTTGAATATCCACTTCTCCCCATTAAAACAGTGTGTGTTTTTGTTAATCTTAGATTCCAGACAATGATCGATATATAATTTGTTGGATTGCCACCAATTCCATGATATTTTTCATTAATTCATGCGTGACAAATGACCGCAGTGTTCAAGAATATAATAACTTTATATCAAAAAATTGATAGAATAAAATTCAATATATAATAAATTGTTACACTTCTTATATCACTGAGATTTTTGTGAGAAACAAAACCTTAACACTTGTCATGTTATGCAGATGATAAGATAACAATTTAAAAGACGGGGCTCGTAACCTATATATCCCTCTGCATCCTTGACAGTGCGTGTTACCATCATCTGGGACAGCCCTTTATGTCAATATAAGCAGTGGATTAATTTTTACCTGCTTACCTATCAGTTGATAAGAAAATCTAAACCAAATCAGTGCAGTGGCCCTTGCTAGCTACTTAGGCCACAGAAACCACCTGAGTCAATGGTGTAATATATATGGTAACGAAAATGCTTGCTGACATATATACATATCCTTCCTTCTATGTTCTGATTGAATTTTACTGTTACTATTTCTTCCTCTTTTCTTTTTGTCTAAGTGGGAGCTGAAAACTTCCAGAATTTATATTGCCTTTCAATCCAACATCGATTCTTAGTTTATGGTGCTATGCAAATAAGGATT